GAATCAGCTGTGTTCCAAGAATGCTGCAAGTTGTTTGGCATCCGAAAGACCAGGACAACGCCACTTCACCCACAGTCCGATGGGATGGTAAAAAAGTACAACTGGACACTGGGACAGGAATTGACAAAGTTTTGTAATAGCCACCAAGATGACTGGGATGTATTACTCCCTCCACTGTCCTATAGGACAGCAGAGTATAAAGCCACAGGATACACTCCAGCAAAGTTGATGTTTGGTCTGGAACTTCGGTTGCCAGTGGACCTGATAACTGGACCCCACCTTACGAAGAGTTGCCTGAAAATGTGTCAGAATTCGTGAACGTTTTATCTGAAAGGATGGATGATATTCACCATCAAGTGCGTTCAAACTTGAAAACGTCTTCTGATTCCATGAAGCTATGTTATGATAAGAGATCTACTGAAGTCAGCTTTGTACCAGGAGACAAGGTGTGGTTGTATAATCCCAGGAAGACAAAAGGGAAGTCTCCTAAGTTGTCTTCTCCATGGGAAGGCCCATATGACATAGTAGATCGTCTCTCAGAAGTGACTTTCTGGATAAAATGTGGTCAGCGAGGTAAGCCAAAGGTGGTGCATGCCAACAGGCTTTGGCGTTATCACGGTCCAGGACATTTCACTTGGAACAAAATGAACAACAGAACAAATGATGCTGTTGAAGACGTGAGACCTGAAAAAACCACTGTTGAAGAAGAAACTCTACCCGGTTTTGAGAATGAAAACAGTGAAGCTGGTAATAAAGTTACTACCACTGATGTGACTTCTATCGATCATGGGACATTTCCTGATGGAGCAGATGAGCCCCACGTGAAGCAGAAGCCAATGAGACAGAGACCAGTACGGAAGAAGATACGTCCCATAAAATTAGGAGACTTTGATGTATTTTAATTTTGTGTTTGTAAATTCTGTACATCTAATCAAGTTATTGTTAATTATCTATTGGTTTAATGTAAGTGGCTATTGTTCGGGACGAACAATACTAAGGAAGGGGCAGTGTTACGACAGCGGAAGTCACGCAACGCCGGGAGCATGCGCGCTGGAGTTTCTTGAAGGATCATGAATTTTTCTGGCAACTCTAGTTTGTTCCTGGCGCCCTCTTTTTTAGTATATATATAAGCTCGGCAAATAAAGCCAGCGAAAAAAGATAGAATTGCATAGATAGATAGATATAGAGATAGATAATTGAGTCAAGCGAACAGTAGGCACCGTAAGTGTGTGAATCGCTGTGAATTATAGCGTGTGTTTATAAAAGTAGTTCAGTTAAAGTGACTGTGGAAATTCTGTGTATTACAAAGTTGTTTCGAGAAAGAATAAACTTGTTTTAATTAAGAAAGGACTTGTATCCCTGTAGTTCCTCGGAAAGAATTTATTCCGGAAATCAACAAACGAACAAAGTCGTAACAGTATGAATGTAAAGAAAATATGTTTCCGATTAATGCTGTTTTGAATAGTCACCTTTTTGCGTCTCTATTTCACGAGACTAAATTTAAAAGGCCTAAAATTTGTAAATATCTTTTTGTACCAAACGTAATAAATTACAGCCTCGCTATAAGCCTCATTTACAAGTGCAAATAAAATGAAAGGATAAAACAATGGTTATTTTGTTTATTTGAAGTTAAGCACAAAGCTACACAAGGGCTATCTAGTGCTCTGCCTACCACGAGTATCTGGCGTTTAAGTCCGCAAACCTACTGCTGTGCCACTGGATGGCAACAGTGGTTAAAGTTAAGATCGGAAAATTTCATTCGGTTGAACTTAGGTGAACTTAGTTTTTCAGTACGTAAAAAAGGACGTGTTTCATAATACAACACGTAAATTTTACATAATTTCCAGTGTAAAGTCTAACTTATAGGATTAGCACTTACTAACATAGCCACGGATTAACAATTATTAATTTATTAGTACAATAATGTTAAGATCAACTGTTACAATGTCTCTTTTTTATTCTTAATCTTTTCCAATGGGTCTTAATATGGTATACAAGCAAAAGTAAATAAAAAATGTCAGAAAGTTAGTGGTATTCTGTCTTGCACGTATTGTATGTAGAAAAAAAGAATAAAATATATAGACATTTCAGAATTGGATTATTTTACATGCATCAAGCTTGTTTATAAAAAAAAAAATATGATAAGAGAGTGACATGTCCCCTGGTGGGGCAGGGATAAGTTTACGCACTTACAACGCTAAAATTCGGGGTTCAATTCCACGTGGTGAACACAGCATATTGCCTAACGTGGCTTTGCTCTAAACCAGACAAACAAACAATATAATGATAAATGATTCAGATATTCTAAATTTACAGAGAAAATTTATCAGCGTTTGAATCATCTCAAAATAATATAGATGATTAAATATCACTCATCAACTAAGAAGTAAACACCTGGTATTGAGAAATTCAAATACCCGTGACTTGACGTGCGTCATATCATGTGTCACGTTTATTACATGTGAGGGCGTGAACCTAAAGAACGTTTCTATTGGCTGTTGGAACTGCATTATGGGAAGTTCACATGTATGCCATTGTGCGATTATAGCTTGGGTTCGTGGCGCACTGTCACAGAAGAAGCTGGAAGTTGATAAGCGAGAACGATTTAAAAGAAAAAAAATCTCTTGCTAAGTAAGAGATTCTGATTCAACATTTGGCGATAGAAGAGTAGTTTTAGAATAAAATTGTGTAGAATGAGGAAGATCTGGTCATACTCTACATTTTGATTGCACGGGTGGCTGCTTTGTCTGGGTAATGGCGGTAGTAGGAACAAGGAATAGACGGCATATGATGGCTTTCTCGGGGCCAGCGGCAACATCTGTCGTTTCGCACCAAGCGATCCTGACCGCAGCACAGCCTTATTATTCTCCTGTTGCTCCTCAGGACATCCAGCCAGATAGACCTATTGGTTACGGAGCCTTTGGTGTTGTATGGTAAGATATATATTTTATGCAGACGAAATATCAACTACCATAAGTTTTTGACAACTGGAAATAGCAATCATAAGTCACATTGATTTGTAAGTTACAGTCAAAGATATGATAATCATGAAAATAAAACCAAGACTCTTGCATGTACTTAAGCTCCTGTATTTCATAAATTTAAGTTTATAGTCAACCACATTCTGAAATGGGCTGTACCCAGAAAACTTTTCGTAAATTAGAACTATAAAAGAATATATCTAGGGTAAGGAAATGGGTCAAGGCGTAATGTTGACGTTATAACTGAATCGCCTTATCAATATCGGTCGATTTTTTTCTTTAAATCTTTTTAAGTTATATCTTTAGTTGTATTAAGTTCAAGTAATTATTGGGATTGTTTGTATCGAGAAGATTAGCTTAACATATCTAATGGTATAATTGATTAACAGTGCGCACTTATCCTTTGTGATTTAACTCAACACTATATATATATATCTATATACCCTTGGCGTGAAAGAGTAATCTATCTATCTTCTATATACTACTACAACTCTGAGATTGTTTGTTTATTTGTTTGCTTGTCTGTAATTAAATACAGCAAAAACGGCGCACAATAGCGCCATATTTGTAATCAAATGAGAATAGAAACAGAATAAAACAAGTTTCGTTAAAATCGGGCCACGGATTACCGAGTTAGCGCCGTTTTTCGGGTCACTTTTATGAAAATTTCTAGCATGAGTAATTTTACATCACACTACCATTCGCGCTCTTTACGAAACTTTTTTGTTCAAATCTATTTCCCTGTCAATGTTCCCATTTTCATTAAAAGGCGTTAGATGCCAAAAACAAGATCT